AATTAATTTTATTGAATTTAATTTACTCATTGATGGATATTCAAGAAATATTTCACGTGCACTACAATTTATTATAAATACAATTTCATCACCATCAAATATATTGAGTGTAGATACATATGGTTCTTTTCGACCAGCAATAACACGACGATCAATATTCCACCAACCATAAATTGATGAAATAGGATGAAAATTTTTTTTAAATTCTTGATAATCTTTATTACTAATTATTCCAAAAAATAATTCATTAGTAGATTGTTGAATACGAAAACGAAAATAATGTGTACCAGTAGAATATGTATTTCGACTTAGAATAGTTGCAGGATGATTAGTACTAATAAGATGTTGAATATTATAAAAATTAGGATGACCACGAATTTTTTCAAAATTAAATTCTTGATAATTAAAATTAATTCGTTGAAATGTTTCTATAGGAAAATTTCGTTTAACTTTAATTAAATCAATAACTTTATCATGTGAAAATTCAATTGTTGAAGATATTTTTCCTAATTGTTTACGAATTTCAGATAAATTTGCCAACCAATTATCAATATTAGTTTCAGTAAAATTATTTTTTTCCTTTAATGTTTCTTGTAATTCTTCTGTAACTGTATTATGTAATGCACGTTGTAATCGATCATTAGTATTCTTAAGTAATTGTTGAAGATCATGACGAGCTGTTTTAGCTGTTTTTTTAATTTTTTTTATAGCATCTTTTTCCCATTTATTAATGGAATCAACAAGTGATACATATTGTCGATTATCATCTGTATTAAGATCTTGTTGAAGACGTTCATGTTCACGAATAACATTATCTAGTTCATCGTTCAATTTACGTTTATGTTCGACATCCCAAGAACTCATTTTTACTTTTGGATGATGTGGTTAGAATCTATGCGCTTTTTTTTCTTTTCCTACAAGTAAAAAGGCTTCTTTCACATGTCGTAGTGTAAAGGTAGTATGAGAGCATCTGTGTTTTTCTTTTTTTTTTCTTCCAATAAAGTGTCGAGAAAAATCAGTAACAATAGTAAGTATTATGATGACCTTGAATTTTCTTTTACTACTATCTTAGAACATTGTAACATGTTTATTTTCTCTTGAAAGTATTCTCTCTTAATTGTAAAGTGTCATTAAAAAAAAAATCTCATCAAGTTGTCCTTGCAACTATTTTTTAATTGAAATGTAAATATAAGTCTAATCAAATGAATAGAATGTACTTGATTATATAATTATATTTACATATTCTATCTAGAAACCTTATTATAACTAATCAGTCGAGACAAATATCTTGCTAAATTTCAAATCTAAAATTTAGATATATAAAATGGATTTCATATCAGTACAAAACGATTTATTAAATATTTCTTTTTTAATAAATTACAAAAAAAATTGTTTAGCACAAAATTTTGACATTGTGAAGGGGAACCATATAAAACATCAACGACGAAAGCATATATATATATATAGACATATCTTATTTGCACTTAATCGTTCTGTGACGCGTTAACAAGGAAATAATTCTATACAAAAAAATTCTTGATGCACTACCATATGGCTGTCATGAACAGCCTATGGTAAAATTTTCAACTCTACATCATGATTTTTTCTGGAGGTATTATTCAACAAACAAAGATAAAAAATAACTCAGTTGATAAGTCAAAGTTTTCTTGAAAAACTCTCAATAAATAGCTCTCTTATTATAAAATGACTCAGTACACATGGCTTTTTCTGAGGGTAAGATGCCTTATATTGTATTAATGCCCGTAATGATGAATGAATTCTCAATACACAATCGATGTGAAGAGCTTTACTTAGAATAAAATATTCTGATCTATATAATTCATCCGATGATTTAATTCAGCCTCATACTTTACGAATTAGTTAATTTTCGTTAAAAACGAACTTTAGCCACATATGATTGGTTCCATGTATAACATTTTAATTATCATCAATTAGTTTTTTACTCAATCGATTAGTTATCGTCTCGGTTGGTAAACAACTCAAGGTTTGAGTATGAGTGTTTGACATGATCAATCGTCGATCGTCCACATATGGAGAGAGTTCAAGCTTAAAAGTGAAGTAAGTTGAGCCTACTATTTAAGAAAGAACGATCCACACTATTTGAAATGGAAGCATTTCTATATCTGAGCAACATTGAGTGCGCTGGACACGCGAAATCTTTTTTTGGTGTAAGTAACTCGAAAATCTGCATACAAGATGGCAGTGGAATATATCGTTCAACAAGAATGAGTCAGTAGATAAAAAATGCTCCAACTAGTTATTAATTGATCGGATACGAAGTACTCTTTGAACATACGAGCTTCGTACAAATATTAGATATCTACGAACCAATATAATGTCTTCAAAAATTGTCTTTATTTAATGAGAGAATTCGCTTATAGTGTATTTTGTTTCTTATGTTACAGCGTCTCCAGATAGAATTCAAAAAGCTCCATTAAAGCACATTCATTCTAATCGTAGTTTGATTTAATATTTGCAGTAATTTTCAAGAGATATTTCATCACGAAATTTCATTAGTGTGGGAATTTTGCGGTACGAGCAGATCATTAAATGTTTTGCACTGTTTTTGTTCATCAATATGCACATATCAGGTGACATTTGGAACAAGCATCGAATTTTAAACAAACTAGAATATTTAATGAATCACATCTGCAACGTTTATTTTTCTCAAAAACTACTCGAGTTGAGAATGTTTTTTTTATTGAATACAAGCAAAAGATGCACCATCTAGTCCAAAATTTGGTGCTGATAATGAATATTTAGCCGCTTTTAACGGTTTTGTTTGTATCTCAATTCAAACTGTAATTTTCGAAAAAAGGATGAAATTTCGCAATGAACACTATGTTCTATTTGTTCTTCGATACAGTGATACTTTTGAATCAATAATCTAATATTCTGACAACTTGTTGAAACCTGAAAAATAATAACACAGAAGGTTTATTTATATGTCGTTTCGTTCTGTAATAAAATGCTAAACATGCAGCACCGCTCAAAAAAATTCCGTAACAATCGCTTTTTCTAAATAGCTTAGTTCTAGGTAAACAAAAATCAATAAAATTTTTACCAATAGTAGATTTGAATAGTCTCGATCTATAATAGAAGTTTCAAAGGACTTGCTTTTGCTATTGAAGGAAAATAGACATTACAGTATGAAAAGATGAGTGTAGGTGTGGGCGTGAGAGTTTGCATGTGCGTCTGGGTGTGCAAGCCTTCGCTTCGTTCACATTCACACCCATCCACCTTTTTCATTCATATTGATTATGCGAATGAATTTATCAGAGTAATATAATTATGGTAGCAATATAGTCAAAACAGGAATGAAACCTGTAAAACATTGATTATGTGTAAAAGACAAGTGTCAGTAGTGTAGTTAAGAGGGTCAGAAAGTCTCAAAAATGGTCTTGAATATTGAACTATTCATTTTGGGTGGCTGCAATCCGAGTATCTCAGTCAAAAATTAAAATACAGTACTAATGAGTAATAATAATGAGAATATCTTTGAGCCAGGTAAGCTGGAACTCATGCAACAATAGACAAACATTAATAGATTCGTTATCATTTCTAGAGCGTACTTTCAGTTGACCAAACTTCATCTTCGAATAATCGAAATTCCATACGACCGATGCGAATAATATCGTTCAAATGAAAAGCAAACTTGCATTTAGTTTATAGCTTTCTACACTACCAATAATAGAAACTCCCGGTTTTATGTCATTTATTAAATCAGTAGACACACCTTCATGAAAGTGAAAACTCGGATGATTCTTGATGAGTCATAAAGATTTATTATTACAAAAGTTTATCATTAAAGTTTGATTTTATATGAAATGAAACGAGGATTTTTATGGATAGAAACATACATTGGAAAGAAGTTTTTCTTTTTCGATCACCTCTTATTGTGGAAAAAAATATGTTGTTTATGCTTTTTTTTGCAATCAATTAAGAAAATAAAAAACACATAACAAGAAAATTAAGTTGCAAAAAGCATATTGTGATATGAATAGAAATGAAGCGCTAGAAGACTGTTGAACTGATGTGTCTATAGTACCCAAGATCATAGTACCGCCATTTTGACCGATAAATTTTAATCCACTAACATACAAATGATCGACAATCGATATTCTGACAGTTTCAAACATCACAGGTAAAAATCCAATTGTTTCTGGTGGAAAATCCATAGCATTGCAGCGAGCAAATTGTATATTGTACCGACTCTTCAAAGATACGGTTTTACTAGGAACAAATCCTGCTTGAGTTTGTAGTTGAATGTCAATATTCATTACTCTAGGTTCTGCGCATGTCAATGGGTGAGTTGATGTGAACCAGCAAGAACTTCTTCTAGCCAATTGAATATCAATTGTTGTGCCTTTTCCTACTTCTACCTTGTTGAATAAAACAATTACTTCCGATTTGGAATTATTTTCGAAGTCAATATGAACTGCATTTTCAATTAGCTCCAAACAACCCAACGATAAATTACCCTTCTTTGGTGGATTAGAGGCAAAATGTGGAGGTGGAACTGAAGAATTATTGTAAGCAGTAACAAAGGAAGTAAATATGGATTGTGCATACTGTTTCAATGGCATAATTTGTGCACCAGTAGTACTACTAATATTCCCACTTCCATTGAAGAGTCGAATTGATTGAGTATTGTCGAAAAATTGACGACCAATGTCAGTAAGATTAGCAGGAAGTCTATATTGAATAGATTGTCTTAACAAAACTATTTCTCAAAAAATATTTAGAAAGATCTCATTGACCTAATAGATAAAACCTCATAAACAGAACTCAGTGGTTTCTGGATCTGTAGTTTTTTTTCTGGAATGCTATGCTGTAATAACAGATATTCTCCATATATACAGAGACATGTCACGTCTCAGATTTCTGAAGAAGACAGAAACAATGGGATCCAGCTATACAATATAGATCTAGTTTTTGGCACAGCCTGTAGGTTAAAATAATTGAGAGAGATATATTACTCACGGAATAGATGGTTCGAGATATTTTGCAAGAGCTGGATCAGCATTAGCACCGACATAGGCACGAAAAAATGTCGATAATGAAAAGATAGCTGTTCTACGTTGTGATTCCGATCCATTAGTTTTTAACAGAGTAAAATCAAGAGATGTGTTTGCAAACTCTGGATATAGATCGCTAACTTTGAACGTTGTGGCATTCACGTCCCATAATGGATCCTGGTCGCCAAGACACATCGGTATTCCGACTTGCCATTCAGTATTAAAATATTCATGATTAGCACCTATTATGATCTCAGTTAGAATTATTGTTTTTTAAGTATAGAATCACATTTATACTGACCGTAAATATGTAAAACATGATTGGGACGTTTTGCATTATATAATTGATGATAGGCCAAATAAATATGAACTAGAACATGCAAGATTCATGAGTGGATATCAGGCATTTTAATATAACCTTGTGTAGGATCACGGAATGAGGCTTCAAATCTTTTCATAAAAATAAAACATCAATTTGTTGTACAACCTCTATTCTTTTGTACTTTTGAAGATACACATTTTTGTAGCCTAAGTCTAACTTTCGTTTCTACTCAATTATTGATTTCATTGTCAATCGAATATACCTGTAAGATGTCTGCATCGTTTGAAAGTACTAAATCCAACATAGCACTATTTACCGTATTTTTTTCATCTTAGATGTATCAGTCTCGCGGATTTAGCTGAAATAGGTGATAGAGAACTAAAGAGAAATGTAAAGTTAGCACAGAACTCTTATACTTTGTTTGAACATCGTAATTTCTATAAGTTACTATGTGAATAATCCGAGAAGTCCTATTATAATATACACACATTCGCTGTGGGATCTTCTCTAATTAATATAACAGGTATTGCCACATTAAGTGAACGTTTGACTTTAGCATCTTTCTTTAGGAAGTTCTTCAAGGTTTTATAGTGCCCAATCAGTTATATTTCATTTATATGGTTGTTTACTGACGATCAAACCTTTTGGATGTACTAAAATATTGCATTGAAAAGTGGACGCATGAGTATAGATGTGGAGCTTTTACATGTATATGTTGGTAGGTGTATGTAAAGAGAGGACACACACTCATCTATATTTTAGCTTGAGAAAACTAGAGACTAACTTACTGTAATCAATTTCATCATCTTCGCATCCTGATACAATCATTCCCCATGGAATATTCTTCACATCAAGTTTAGTTCCATTCTGACCATAAAACATGGGGGCAATTTCCATAATTGCTCTAATCATCACACCCGGTAGTCGTTCACGCCATTTCGGAGCATCGCTAGGTCCTTTATTTTCCATTAACATATTATAAGCGTTGCGAACTCCTTCACCACCACGTGAATGTCCCATCATTCCAACTTGAGAAAAATCAAACTTGCCTGATAGATCGACACCACTCAACACTTGTTTCGAAATTTCAGCACTTGCATTGAGTTCCATCATTTTTTGCAGGGTCCGAAGAACAATGCGTCCTCGAACAAAATTTAACGTGTCATCACCAGGAATACCCCATTTGTTGTTTATTAAAATCATATCAATCGAAATCACAATATAACCATACGACGCAAAATATTGACCAAGATAGGCAAATCCAAGATGACTAGGAACTGTAGATAAATTATTTGAACAATGACCCCAACTATCAGTTGCTCCTAGATCAAGAGAAGGATAACCAGGTGGTACAGGCAAGCGACAATCTGCATGTTTTCCAGGAACAAAAACCAGAATTGGAAATGAACCTTGTATGTCGTTAGTTGTTGTATTCGGAAAATATATTTGTCCTCGAATTTGTGTTGTCAGATTGTTAGAAGATGGTGTGAGCTCTGTATCATTAACAATTGGATACTCATAAGAAGCTTCAGCAATAGGAAAAGGACCATTCTCAAAAATTTTATCAATATCTATACGCGTTTCTTGTTGCTCCTATATCGAGAACTAGTACGACACGTTTTTGATGATATCAAAATCTTACCTTAATAGTAAATCCTAAAGCACTGCCAAACAGTATTATTGACAATATAACAAGACAAGGAAAATCCATTACTATTATTCTCATCTAGAATTAATCAAAATGAGAAATTGGTACTCATACTTGAAGCATAGAAAAGAATTCAATTATATAAATAGATATTCAAAACAAGGGAAGACATGAATCTGTTTTCTGTCATCCTATCAAAATAATTCAATCTGATTTGCATTTTAGTTCGATTTAAAAAAAATGACTTGAAATATGCATGCTGAATATCAAGAAGAATTTTATGTATGACATAAAAATATGAAATTGATAAAGAAAAGTTTACTTGTAGGTCGAACATGATTCAATATCAAGATTAAATATAATTCAGGATTTCTTACTTGTGACTGAATACAGATAGGTTTTGAGTTTCTTAGTCAGGCAAATAAGATACGGTTATCATGACTTTATCCTTTGCAATAACAAAAACAGAATATACAAAAAAAAAACAAGGTTGAGTTATATCAAATTACATGAATTCTATAGAGTTCATGGTAAGGCGATGCATAAACTCGCTAGGAATGCTGGTGTGACAACCTTGAATAATGATGGATGTCAGACAGAAAGAACAGGCATAAACTTACTCATATCACGTCATTTTCATCTTTCTGTTGTCTTTAATCAGATCATACAATCGAATGAAACGAAAAAATGACAGATGCTAGAGAATAATCGAACGTAAACGACATCTTCGAGCTTCACAAACGAAAGAACAATTATTAGCTATGTATTCTGTAGTATAATGTTTCAGATATCTGAAATGATACGATTAGAATATGAAGATGACTCTCGGTTACTTTTCCGTATCTATTTGGTGAAGACCGACAACAAACACCACGAACTTTCTGCTTATTTTTTTTTTTTTTTTTTTGATAAGAATAAAACACGTTGTTTTCACTTTATGAGCCAACCATAGTAGGCAAATAATATTTGTGTATCACAAATATTTTCTCTTGACTCTTTTCTTCTGCAAACAGTCGATATAACTGCATCGAGCAAGCGCTTGAGTAACTACTTTCTACTGCGCAGAAAAGATTCAACCAGTAAATAAAGAACGATGCGCTACGTTGACTATTTAGAAGAGTTTTTTCAACCGTCGCAAACAGTACAGCATCAATACACAGATGAAAGTTAATCCGAATCATCATATTTTGATAACCATACCATACCATATTTGTCTATTTAAAAAAAAACAATGTTTTAGCACATTGCTGTGTACGAGTACTAAACAATACTGCAAGAGCCTAGGCAGAAACATCTTACTCATACTTTGATGATGTGACTTTCTTTTTCTAACATATAGATGAGTTTCATTCGCCTTTAGTTATAAGTATTAGACGTCGAAATGAAATGTAATGATCGATTAATGATAAATCTACAAGAATGTGCGCAAATATAAAACCAAAAATCTTTTTTTTTTCGAGTCTTGTTTGAGTCTACGACATATTCTCTTTTACGATGAGGACAGACGTAAAGACGTAAATCGTAATATGTGCATTTTATTCCAGTATTTTCGCATCGCTTTGCGATTGATTCTTTTGAATCATGTAAAGGGCAAACATATCCACGAGATTACAATCGTGTTTATCTAAGATAATATCGAGAACTAATATCAAAACACGATTAGCAACCAATCATCACATTACTAATCGTCGTGATGGGATTTCATAATGAGAGACAAAAGACTTTATAAGCATTCTTATAATAGAATTGCTTGGGTGTGGGTGTGAAAGTTAACACGGTTTTTTTAAAAAGTTGATAGTGGAGAAAAACGACAAAAATCTTTTTGAATTTTGTGAATAAATTTAGGTAAATGAAAATAGTTAGTATTTTGATTCTATTGACCTGTTTGGTAGAATAAACAGCTCCGAACAAAATACGAAAATCACAATCATTTTCATTGACCAAACGTTTGTAGACAAGATACAATTTTGAATTAAAGAATATTTTTGAAAGTTTCTTTATAGAATAAATCAGTCGAATGTATAACTTATTAAAACTTTTAACCAAACCCGTAACGATCAACTCTAGTTACAACTTTTGGCTATAGCTATAATCTCAATTTAATTGATTATTCTGATTAAATTTGATTACATTCTATTAAAACTTGATGAAAAACATTGATCATAATTTTTAATCAATTATAATCGAAATCAATCATAAGAATCTATGAAATTTTGATTTTTCCAGTTACTTATGATCATAGTTATTTTCAAATCTATTTAAATCTGATTATAAGTTTAATTCTCTTTTACATCTGTTGAGACGAACTATAACTAGTAGTCATGCTCATGCTTTGAAGAAGTCATGTTCACACGAAGTGTCAACTAGCCACTTGTCCACTTTACCCTTCTGAATAATGTACGAAGCATTTCTCTTTACTTTTAACTTGTAAGAAAACAATAGTAATATCCTCTCTTTCGTTTTTCCTCTCACGTTTGTCCATGTGATAACGAGTAAGAACGAGAACAGCAGTAACAGTCCATATGTTGACAAAACTAGTGATGAGCATCCAAGAATTAAGTGAGAGTAACATGTTATAGTTGTTTTAGGCTTGAATAAAGCATAGGCGATTATACTAATAGAGAGCATTATCTAAATTTCTTCACAACATATATTAAACATGATTACCGTGCATAATACAGTAGTTTCAGTTTTTAAATACTATTCTCAGCTGCTTACATTTTAAAGATTGTGATTGATCATACAGCGAAAAATATATTGTGTTATACGTACAGTCGCGCTCACCATATAACTATGAGACAACGTATAACTTGTAGAAGCATGCATGAAAAAACTCAAAGAATAATCTAACTGTAAATAATAACTATTTGAAATAAAGAACTATGAAATAAATATACTTCTATTTATTCTATCAAGCGTGTCAATTAAATCAAAACAATTATTATTTCCATTTAATTAAATCTACTCAAACATTCCAAAAGTTAATAGAGTGTAAACGGTTGATTGTTATAGCTTAACCAATTTTAATTCTTACACTTAATTAAGTACAAGTACAAAGTACAATTTTTAAGTAGAAAATATTTGTATTTGTATTTAATATATTTGTACTAGTCTAATTACTGCTAAAAGTGCCTCTAGTTGCTGATTTATTTTTATACAAAACGACCTGAGTTTTATCGGCGTCAGAAATTCAGTTTTTCCTTGTACATAATCATTGATGCGCGATCAATCTTTCTCATATCAATATCGGCTTCGCACATTTCTGCATCAACTATCACCTCTCGTACGAGTAGCGAACAGATAGATGTTAAAAGATTTTACTACTGTAAATAGACTAATTTGCAAGAATTTTATAACAAATGATAATTTTATTCACGATTGTTATTATTATTATTATCGAGATATAACAACTTGTGAGACGTATCTATTGTGAATCGTGAAAGTTAAACAACCGAAATAATAAGATTGAAATAATATTTGTATTGTTGTCGATAAGATAGGCAATCAAATGTATTTAAATGCGTCATGCGGTTTTATGCAAGAGATTTGTGGAGATTCATATAGTGTCCATACAGTCCTCATAATTTTGATGTTTCGAGACTAAATTGAATTTCTGTAGGAGAGGAAAATCAAGCAACGATGGAATGTTTGCCGATGTTACTGATGGACGGGAATTGAATTCTAAAAGTGAGAAATCTGGTTTTTCTTGTCTCTGTTGAGATGTTTTCTTTTGTCGCCAATGAATCGCTCGATTTACACAAGAACATTGATCATCCACATGAGATCGTCCGCAGTTGAGACATATTAACTTCGAAGATTCGGGTCGCATTATCGATAAGTTAGGATGTGCTTTGTGTGTTTCTGCTGATGAGTAATAGAAATCAGTAGACGTCAGTACACAACCGTCCTAAAAGAAAAAAAGACGAAAATCACTTACTACTGTTACAATGGTTTTGACATTAACCCTTTGAGGACGGGTGGGTGATATTTGTCCCACCTATTTTTTAGTACAGAAAATGTTTGTTCTATGTTAAACTGTTACAATCTTTAAGGTAAATAGGTCACCTATCTGCTACCTGATGCAGGTCTTTTCTCTCTTTCTTCGTGCCATATAGATCTTCTGAGATGTCCTCCTTTCTTCCTGCTACTATATACTGACGCATGATTTCTTTCTCTCTTCTCTCAGTGCATTATCATCAGGTTTTATCTCATCATTTGAAGTCAAATACAACAGTCTGATTGAAGAACCATTTTTCGATTGAAAAAGAATTCCGTCCTCAAAGGATTAATTCGTGTTTTTTTTCAACTCAAAAAACACAAGCAGTTGTTGGGTGATTTAAAGTAAGAATTCAGACGTCATTTTATTGAAATGGATCGTATTGCTTTGGAATAAAGGATATTGGAAAATATTTTCATACAAGGCAAACGACCATATCTAACTCTATTTCTTCTCAAAAATGAGTTTTCGGTTAGAATCATTTCTTCTACTTTTCTCAATCATTTACCTTTATCATTTCGATAATTATTCTTGCGATATTTTTTGCATCATCTAAGCCGCAATGTAAATGACCGTTTGCTTGAAGTCCCAAGTATCCGAGCATGTAAGCAATTCCTTCGTTTAAGAATCAATTAAAACTCGCTAGAATGTAACAATTGTTGAAAACTTACGACCCATTCTAGTCGAATAAAAATTCGAAAATGCTTTTTTAATATCAATCCATTGATGTGCCCACTTGGGATAGGCAATATGGGCGAGCTCACACTGCATACGTAAGTATTTGCGAAAATCTGATGAACTATTGTTGGATAGACAGTAAAGTAAAAAAATTGAATGAATACATTTTATTTGCGCTCATGATTATATGCATGTCTTACCCATCGGTGACAAAGATGTATTTGCTTTTTGAGAGCGATTCATTATCTCTGTTGTTTAACCATTTCTCAACAGACATGAGCACATCAGCAAACATAGGTGCATTATTGACTTGTTCCTATTCGAATTCAAGTACAAAATCATTTTATAACTTAGGTCATTGAAAATACAAACTTGTGTTATTCCAGTCAGTTGTTTACAATAATCTGACAAAATCGGCTGTATCACTGGCCGGCAATACGATTGAAATGTGTTAACCTACAAGAATACACATAAGATAGGTCTGAGTCAGCTGAATTACATTCAGATAGTTAAGGTCTTTTTACAATTGTTCTTGCGTGAACATCGATGATAACAATGGGAAATTCAATAATTTCTTGAATATAAACATGTGGTGGTGGTGGTGGATTAGCTACACATGTTGCTTCAAAATCGATTATCGCAAAAAAATCGAATTCTTGCCGCTGTATTGATCGATTGTTATTCGACTTACAGCTCGCTGACAGAGAATGTTTCAGCATCTAATAGTTATCTGTTGAAAACAAAAATAGATTGTAAATATAAATGATAGAATTCGCTTTTCGCGTTATGCAACAAACTTTGTTGATAAATTCTTTTGTATTGATTCTTCTACAGGGACAATAGATGGCAGTCAATGTATGTTTCTATCAAGCCTGTCGATTCCTGTTTACAATCATGAAAAGAAAAAAAGGATCAGAATCAGTAGAAATTTATTCTACACAATGACTTGCACGATCAGTCCTATCATTGACGAAAGAAAAAGTCATTATGGAAAAAAAACCCATGTAATAATGTTTAACGTTAGATTCTACATGGTCTCTATGCGAGCATAATAATGTATACATTCACTATTCTTATGTCAACAAAATGGTTGCGAAAGAAAAATGTGTAATTTTACGCAATAGAACGAAATTCTGTTCTGTCCATGATTCACGTACAAAAACAAATGTGTATCAATACAATGAATCATTTCAAATAAATTCGACTCAACTTGCTTCGATATGCATTACGTGAAGAAATTTCTCATCTGATGATTGCTTTTCGTGCTAGGAAACTTAGGAGTTCGAAATTTGCTTTTGTAAAACATGATTGTGAATGAATATTCAAATAAGTAGAGTGAAAAGTGAATATCTCAGTATGTTCTGATGACTATCATATATCTCATTATTTGATTTCGGATTTTTCAATCACAAATTTATTCAGATAACAATGAAATAAAGTCTATCAACGCCAAGTACAATGTTCTGCACTACAAACTGAGACTAACTACTTAATAGTGTGGTGTGTAAAGGGGACAATACACTAGGTAACACTTGAAACTAAACCAACTTGTAAATTATGTGATACGATCAAATAAATAAGACATTATTAAATTAAGTGCTGTTCAAATGCTCACGTATATCAATGAATTTTTGTGGGTGTGAGTATGAGTCTGACTTTGGGTCAGAATGCATGTCTTCTTTTGACCAACAATCAACACATTTTGCTCAGCGATGGTGAGAAACCGCTTTTCTTCGCTTTATAAATACATTGCTAGCATTTTTTATTGTCTTCGTTCATATGATGATCACTTGATGAATGGTTGTTATATTAGCAAAGTGGCAAGTAATTCGATATATGATTACAGAGTAAAAGTTGAATATATTTTTCAATTTTCTGTTCAACTCGAAATCATTGGATGCATACTTACAGACACTTATTTATTTTAATCACATCTTTACTTTCATCCTCATGCAATTTGTGTAGTTGTATGCAGCAATTAGTGTACGAATGTAATTAAAGTGAACCAGAACTCTTTTAGGTATGATGGCTTTATTTTTCTGACACAAAATTCATTTGAATGAGCTATTACCATGAAGCCTGGGAGGATCATTGCGAAACAACTTTGATGGATGGTGTGCTTTGGAGGTTATCGAAACAAATGACACAACAACAAGCTCTTTAATTAGGTTCCGCCGAAAACAATTTGAAATTTTCCAACATTGGTAAATCGCCCGATTGCACTGGTCATGAAGACAGCTTCGAGATTTTTTCCTAAGTCGATTCCATCTCTACTGAACTTGAATAGATGAATCGAATATGCCTCTATGTCCATAGATTCTTCCATATACTTCATCACATACTTCCAATCATGCTTCACAACAATATCTTAGAAAAACCGGCCATAGTTACTGTTTCCAGAGGCATATATCCAAATACGCACACTTTCAGCGTACGGACGGTCAGTGAAAGTTACAATATGATAACCGACTTCGAGAAGGATATGTCTATTGATATTGTACTCTGTACGAATTATTTCTTTTTTCGCATCTTCTATAGGAATCGTAGCTCGACTTTTATTGCATACAATTATCAAACATATTGCTAGATTTTCTGGATTCTCTTCTTACAGCTGAATATGAGTACGGTTTGCAACATATTCTGATAAACCGCTAGCTTTTTTCAGAAAACCATTTTTAGTAGAAGGCAACATTTTAATTATTAGACTACTATGCACGTGCTTTATTTTTCTAAGTGAAAGTGAATGTAAAAATATTACTGCCATAAACCGAAATTCATTTTTGTGGTTGACGAAAGCATAGAACAAAACAGATAATTTCGCTCGTCATCGTCGAATTTTCTTGATCAGCACAAACTGGTCGGTCGGAGAAATTTGATCGAATTTGACTAAGCAGTCTGTGACCAGCTACAATTATAAATTGCAACAAAAGAACAATCACACATAAAAGGTCGTCTAGGTTATCAAATAATGTGGAAAATATCCGAAAGGAATAGATGAATTGGAACGCATTCGATTTGTGCTATCTTCAATCTGTAAAACGACGTTTACACTTTGTAAAATTACCTATGTGCTACAAAGACTGAGTTTCATATTTGAGCTTCAGAAGAGACTGCGCTGACAAGGTTTTCCAATAAAATCATATTTTTCGGCTTTTGCTCTGGAAATTTGCTCACACTAAGGTCTCAATTAGACTCACTTTTGTACTAAATTTTCAAGCCTTTGCATGTAGATACCTCCGGGATGCTTATTTTTTAAAATATTCGCATTTTACATAAGATCAATCGTAAAGTATCTGTATTTGGAAAAATACACTTTCTAGAAAATCTGTATCGAAAAATTGCGAAAGTTTTTCTCAATCAAAGAAAATTTAGTTGAGACTTTCGTAAAAGTAAAATATCAGGTCAAAGTTTCAAAAAATAGAATAAATCACTGAAAGCCTAACATGTCTCGTAAAGCTTAACAAGAGTACGAATGATTTAAGCTCATTATAGTCTAGTGGATTTTTAACGTTTAACCAAATATAACATCACAACTTTTAATCATTCGGGAATGCCCATTAAAACTATTTTTTCCAAATTCGAAAAAAGCAAATTCGTTTTCTGGAACTTATAGTGGTAGCTCAAAGCGATGTCTGTTAGCTTTGTAAGGCTCATAGACGTTCTAGAATAGGCACTTATCAAATAAATAGGTGAATATAGTATTGCTATTGACCTTCTCGATAGGCCAACGTGAGGATAACTCGACTATCCACATTACTCTTTGTTTTGTATAATTTGATCATTTCAGCGCCCATTAGGTGCAACGACTTGAAAAGTAACGTTTTGCATTGTTTCTCTTTTTATATATAATATTTTGTTAATAATTAAACGTATTTAAGTTAGGATGTTTTAACGTTCATAACCGACTCATCACTGATCCACCACATGTCTAGTCATTAATTCAGTATTGATAAGATGTGAAACTAGTCGTTTTTAGTCTCGATCTGTACGCATCAGCGCTCGAAAAACTTCTAGCCATACTCTGGGTTCCTGAATATGATGGCACAGGTCTCAAAACCGCGCCGCTGATGTCAATAAATGAAAAATAATGTTCATACGTAAAAGCCAAATCACTGGTTGACTTTACTGTGAATGATTATCAGAAAAATGTTATAGATAGGTAGGGAAACAGTGTATAAAAAAAAGCACTTTCCATCTCTCCTTCTTCTTCCAAGTGGATTCTTCGATAGCTACCGTCTATGATTTCAAAACCGACCATACTTCACCATAGATGCTCTTATCAGTGCACTTCCTCTCAATGAAGACGGCACATTTATCTCGGAAGAAGTCGATTGAGATATCTATGATTGGTAATACTGGATAAAAGCTCAGAGATCAATCCTAACATATATTTTTTCTCTTAGTGGAACTTTCTGAAGCTATTCTGTTTGCATTCAGCATTTCACAACGAGTATATTCTTATAATTTTGAAAATAATTTCTCCTTCTTATCTGTCTTAATAGAAGACACTAGGCTGACATATAAATGCGGCGACGCTATCTTTTTTCAACAGGAGCTTTCTTCAATATTTACATACCATTTGATTCGTTCCCCAATAGGTGCCGATGCTGTGTATCACTATTGCCAACAGAAACAATAGTACTAACAAGCATTAAACTCGTTGATGCTACTGCTAATTCATACATTTCAAATCGATCGATAACTCTTCTACTTTGCATCTCATCGAACGAGGCTACAGTTCACTATTGCTCATAAGAAAACCACAGAGCTACATAGGAAGCTAGTTTGGACGATTCCTATGGTTTCGATTAATGCATAGCCTATTCTATGCAGAAAAATTGGCATAACCTTATGGTAGAGAATCTACAGTTACGTTTCTGATGAATCAAGCTCGTATAATTATGTAAGAAATTCAATAAAGATTCTTTAAAAGAAAAATAAGCGAGAAGTAAAGAAGTCTATAAAGACGAATTGTTGAGAGTTTCCTTATTTATCGGTGATACGTTAGTTTGATTGACTGTTCGCATTCTGAACAATGCTTTCTCAGAGTTTATCGCATGGACCGATTTAATTACGATGCGGGGCAATCGTCGTTTGCCCATGGTGTCTCTGCCACAAATATCGTAGTTTTTTGAATACCAACAAACTGCGTAATATAATAAATCGAAGACAAACTGTGAGACCACCGTAGAATCCCAACAGAGTTGTAATCATATAGGCAACATTATTGTTTTCATCATATGTTAATTGACATAAATGAGGAGAACATGCTTGATAATAAGCTGAAAAGTTGCTTGCATTGATCCATTCTTCAACGAATAATTCATCGATCATTGTACCTAATTTTGTTGTCAAGTGCGGAAATCGAGTAACAGCTAAGGATTTGAGCAAAGATGGAACCATTGAACTGTTCAGCAACGTACCCACCATAGACAAACACGTCGAGTCGAAGAAACATTCCAATGTTGACTGACGTAATCCATCCACAGGCAAACATCCACCAACGAGACCTGGTAATGTGATTGTTCCGTCACCTAAAACAAGATTGAGTGGTCTCCAACATGTGGGTGATAATGATGCTGCGCATGAACATGTATCGTTATTATATGAACGAGGGATCGTTGCTACCATATAACGTTCTGCAGCTGTCGTAAATGCAATATTCCAAGTTGTCATAAACATATTCTGCAATTGATTCGAACGAAATGTATCTCTAATAAATTTGAGTCTATGCAGAAATGTCACAGGTGTTTGTTGAATAAATATATTTAATGCTGATGCAACTTCACTTTCAAACGATTTCGGTGTTAATGCTTCAATACTAACAAATGTCTTTGACGCGAATGTAAGTGCGGCATTCGTTACTGTTTGATTGGCTAGTTTGCAAAATGAAGCGATCATTCGAAAATAGGCACTGAGCAATGGTTGATCTTTCAAACCGAATGTATCACCCGTGGCTGCCACTAAAGTCCACCATTCAGATGCGATGAAACCGCTCGAACATATTTGATGATAAACGGCTGATACAGACAGAAAAGTACCGTATTGTATTGAGGTTCGACTACAAGGACACGAAAGAGCATTGGTTTGGGTTAGATGATAAAGCGTTTCGAATGTTGCTTCAGACGGTAACTTGACTGTATATGAGTGTGTTTGTTCATTGAGACCGGTAAATATCAGAATGATTGAGAATGAAATGCTAAGTAGGATTAGATAAATCCGGGTGGCCACAAATGGAACGTCAGTTTCATTATTGAACAAGTTGATAGAAATGAAATTTTGCACAACGCGTTTAACACACGACCGTCTTCGTCGGGGTTGATGATTATCTGCGTGATCTATCATAACAACAGAAAAAAACCGGTATGGTGAAGTATCTTGCCAAGATCTTTTGAAAGTTACAAGACCAAAGCAGTTATTTTACTACTCATTTCACCTATTTTTATGCACTTCGACAAAGTGACACAGTGACCAGATTATGAAAAAATATGGTATGACTTCCTCAAAGTGAACGAGCTTATGCATCATAAGACTGGACTACGCTCTACTTCACTTACTTCGACCAAAATACCCAAAGCTGCAATATAAAGATCTCACCGTGATATTTTCAATAATTGCACAGCTAAATATCGTTGGTTATCGCTGTCAATTAGTAATCGACATACATCTGTCGATGAATTTCATCGACAGGCCAACGTTCATCAAGTGACGACGTGCGTAACTGACGATCTTTCATTCATCTAACTAGTTACTTATTTCTATTTTGTGTCTACAAATGCCAAGCGATAATTCTGACCGACAATAGATGTTCATCGAGTGATGAGTTGCATTAGTATGTAGTTCTTTTCATCTTGCTAACTTTTTGTTTTAGGTACATCAATGATTACCAAGAGACTTTTCCATCGATGTGTACCATAAAACTAATACCATTTTATCGCTTGATTCAACTGGCATTATACTGATGAGCACATTACTACAGAATCTTGCTCATGTATCCATACTTTGTTTTTCTTGTGTTATTAAAAGGATTCTACTACTTTTCGTCATTTTCTGTGCTAAAATATGACTTGATCATGCGTTTTGTAACTATAAGGTGTTCGCTGTTTCAATTGGCATATTCATAAATTAGACTTTTTCTTTCATAATAAAGTACTTGACCTACAACTAATTCGAGACAATGTTTGCAAAGACCTTGTTTTGAGTCATTTGTGGAAAAAATACTTTCATAGCAAAGAACAAACTATATTTCTGAATAGATCGATCGGAAACACGAACAGTTTGTTCAAAACACAGAGTCAAAAATTTGGTGACTTGGAAGATGATGAAACAGCGCAAAATTCTTCTAACGGTAAAGAATATTAGACTTTTGTATCGTGTATAGGTATAAATGCTACGAGTCACAAGTTCGAATTCTTTGTCAATATTAAACATGATTTTGCTTTTCTTTCATCGAAGTTGTACAAAGTTTAGCTTAATAACGAACCTCACTGCGAATCATAGTTACGCGTAATTTTGCAGAAATTTAAGCAGAGTAGTATAGATAAATATAGTGCTTTAAAATAGTTTAAGAGTATGAGCAAAACTATGCATAACATATACAGACTTGAACTTAATAACCACAAAATAGTGTTGCATAGATTGAAGGGAACCATTATTGCCCTCACAAAAAAAGGCTTTATTAGAGTTCGCGCCAGTAACAAGATTTAATCAACTGTAATATGGTATGGGTGTCCACAGTTGATGTACCAGAAAATTAAAAAATAGAGTCGAGATGTTATTTTTCTTTAAAAAAATACAGAAAATGAATTTTTTATTATTTTAATGAAATAAAAAGTATTTCTTTCTCTTTTCTTATTTTTAATAAAAAGTAAGAGATCAACTGTGTTTTTTTTTTTCCATCAATAAAGGTGAAAGAGAAGCAGAAGTCTCACTTGTATAATAGACTCAATTCTTAAATATTCATCTAAAAGTCTAGCGATAAACTTTTGAAGTATTCCACTCATGTGTGTAGTCTACAATTTTCATTGCTAATGTTCGAAACCGATGTGAAATGAACAGATGATCGGGATCAATATTGTACTAGAGCTCGGTTCAAAGTGGAATTTTTGAAGTTCGGTTCAGTTTATTTTCGAACTCTGCTCAACACATAAGTTATATGCAAAAATCTGCTATTCTTTTCATTACTTTTCTTACATAACGAAGATGCCGATAAAATCGCGATAAATTCTCTTTCGGATGGAGAAGAATTTTTTCTCATGAAAATCATATTGTTGATGAACAATCAATATCAACGTACCGATCGCATGACTTGATGCTGTAGTTCCACGTGCATTTCGTAAGAATAGTCGTGTCGAAATGATTTTCACGATGAGTGGTGCAAGTATCTTTAGTATGACATTTAGTCCACCCGCAAGACCGAGAATAGTTGTGATAACTTGAAATATGTTGTAGTGATGTGTGTAGGTGTACGTACAAATACGTGGATTACATTTGTTATAATGAGTTGTTATATTGGTCGTATTGATCCAATCTTCAATCATCAACTGTGAGACAATAACACCCATAGTTGTATTAGGTAAAAAGCGACTTGACAAGCGAGAATCAAGTGCTGAAACGTTTATTGTGACTGGTTGGACCCATTTATCGATGTCGAACAGGCGCCAATCGAGTAACATTTGAATGCACGATTGATTATAAAAGCATTCAAACGTTGAAAACAGAAGTGAATTAAATGGGAAGCAACTCATCACCACACCAGGAACAGTTTGGTTAGGTAGAGAGTTAGGTAGGTGACAACTAAGCGATGAGCAGTAGAAACCTTGTGGACGTATACAGGCGTTGCTTGTTAAACATGAACAAGTGTTACCATCAGGTAGATAATATATTTTTGGCTTGTAGCGCAATGCCCATGAATAATTTGAGGCTATAATTTATATAAAAAAATATTTGCAAAACATGCTTCAACGAAAAGTCCTTAAAAATATGTTCTTTTGATTCTTTTACTTTTCTAAAGCTGCATATATATATATATATGTTTATCCTACACTTCTGATGTTACTTGTCAAATTCGAAACTTACTATCTACATTAGCTTGTCCGAAAAGTTTGTGCAACTTAGCTGATACTGCACGTGTGAAATCATGAAGAGCGTGCATTTTTTCCCGGATTTTCTCTTTTTTGCTCGATTATACCGTTTCCTTGCAACATAACAAAATACTGTTTACAACCCTGTCTGCCTATAGTCCACTCATCAATGGGATATCCGTTTTGAGAATCATAATAGGTTCTTTTTTAACAGTTGACCAAGGACAACAAGATACTCTTTCTAGGCAGACAAGCAATCAGGAAAAGAGTGTTTAAACACAATGGTCTTCAACTGTTTAGACAGTGTGATGTGTCCCAAAAACACGCTTAAACTAATTAAAAACATTTAGTTGTTTAACATGCTGTCACAGTTTAAACAGATAAAGTGTAAATGGCTATGACTGATGAAACGCAATTTTTTTACACATGAAACAGTTTTGACAGTTTTGATGAGTGGGCTGTAACTGTCACCATGGGTCATCTACTTAGCCACAAATACACCCCCACCACTACTCAAACCTAACCATCCCCATATCCACATTTATATTCAAACTCAACCAAACCTCACACCAACGCACCCACACTCACACTCTTTACTATGGCTAATTTATTATTGAAATATGATGTTCTCATTTCTAAGAAAGAAGAAAGTACCGTGAACATCAGAGAAATCAGAAGAGAGAAGAACGATGGCAGCACTTAGTGAGGTATACAATACAAAATAGAATAATTAAAGATATCACCAACTACTGATACCTTAACCTTCCATGGTTTTCACTACAAGTGTGACAATGTGCTGTGTGTTAGTTTGAGCAAGTAACACCGTTCTGTAATTTTTTATCTCAAAAAATTTCGAAGAAGCTCGCATTGTGTCGTCAACAGTTTATCACAATTTTCATGTCCACAAATTTATAAATTTTTTAGAAAGTGCATGAAGTAAACTGAACATATATTTTGATAAAACTATTCGGGCTAAAGATAGTTATACATTTTCCCATATATATCATTCCTCTAGCTGGAAGAATTCAGCGAAGAATATTATGTTTTTATTGTGAAGCGATTTTTTTTACTGCAATTTTAGTTAGACAAGTGTGTTTTAGCGACTATAGTGTGAGAAAATATTTAAATAGTATGTGGAAAATTGTAATAAATAATGTTAGATCAATTTAATATGATCTAAATAAAAGTGAAAACTTCTTGTTTAAACGTGATTCATTTTGTAGCAACCAAATGAGATCATTTTAACAAATTATAATAAAAATACACTTAGCAAAACTATTGATAAATGTGTTTAAACATTTTAAAACATTAAAAACGCTAATTTAACAAGTTTTAACATTCCTAAAACGGTTTTTCAATCTGTCTGAATCGTTGCGCTTGAATTTGGAGTGAGTTAGAATGCGAGAATTGACTGATTGGCTTTTAAAAATCATAAGCTCATAAACGCTTGAGAAGTTCAGTATGAAAATATTTTCAAAATCGGGTTCAATCATCTGCACAGTTTTGTTTGGTCTTTCTACTGCAAATATAAAAATCTCAAACTTCCATCGTCAGGTATGCGAGATTTTCTATAGACTCTCTGGAAAACAATAGTATTTCGGATGAAGTGTTTCAATTTTCACTATCACGGATCATAGTCTATACAAAACTATAAGTACACTGAACATTTCAGCTGTCAATACATGTTGGGTTTTCGGAAAGGGGTGTCAGTTTCGGGTTCCGCTCCAGGAGACTCATACTATCTTGTACAAATTGAAAGAATAGGCACAGCGCTAAGTCATAACATAATCACAAAAGCATGAAAACAAATTTTCAAAT